GGTTTCAGTATGCAGCTATCCCTACTCAACGCGTCTATGTGTCTGGCAAGCTCAAAAACCATTGCATCTGTGAGGTTTCAGTATGCAGCTATCCTCACTCAACACGTCTAGGTGTCTCGCAATCTCCAATACAAATCACCTGAGAGGTTTCAGTATGTGTCTATCCTCATTCAACGCGTCTTTGTGTTCGGCACTCCAACATCACTCAACCCGTGGGGTTTCAGTATGCAGCTATTCCCACTCAACCCGTGCATGTGTCTGGCAATCTCAAACCTCGATCACTCAACCCGTGGGGTTTCAGTATACAGCTATAATCACTCAACACGTCTATTTGTCCGGCAATCTCCTACATCACTCAACCTGTGAGGTTTCCGTAAGCAATCCTCACTCCGCGCATCCATGCGTCACGCGCCTTTGATAGCGCATACTATGGGGGCTATATTTGGGGTAGCGTGTTTGACAGCGCTTTGCCAACAGCGCCAATCCACTTAAGTCTACATGGGGGGGGGGAGGGTACTCATTGTCGTGCATGCCGTAGTCGTTAGACCATTGACCTCGCATCCCTACAAAGCCGGGACGGAGCACGCCGGGTTCTCACCGGACCAGGCTCTCACATCACCAAGCGCGAAGCGCCGTGAGATATTCGGCGAGTCGCATGAAGGGTGCGCTGCATCCTGCTAAGGGTTTTCGGCATCTTGTGCTTACTTCCTTGCGTACGGATGACAGCTGCGTATGAATTAATTTATTTTCTGGTGCTTTCACTTCCAGGAACAGTTGTAAGCACTGTGTAACTGCCTCGAGGGTGCTTCACCGTTTTAACACAACGTGGTGCGATCATCCCCCTTGCGCGGAGTGAGGGTTCTCCACCCCGCACAACATGATCTACTCGACCACCATTATGGTTACCGCCAAAATAAAAACAGAGGCAAAAAAACAACAAACGGTAACCTGGTTGCCGAGTTCACGAAGTGAATTGACTTGTTTTACAACGTCTACGTCGTTGCCAAGCGACGAAAACCCAACCCCGATGGCAAAACACCGGGGGGGGCATGGGTCCTCGGGGGGGGCGGAAATTTCGTGTCCCCTGCTTCGCTTTTTCCTATACGTGATGTAAGATAAATCACCAAATTTCGCTGAAAAACCACCTTCCCGACCCCGGATAAAAAATCTGAGACCGGATATCGCATGTACACACCCAGAGCAACCCACAGTTGACTTTTCAGACCTTAGGAGGTTTGGCAACAACTCCAATCTCAACCTCACTTCGGCATACGCCGGAAGGCCCCCACGATATCCTGGCTTCGGCTGGGCTTGAGTTAACCGTTTTGCTGTCCTCCGCTCTTTGCTTCAGTGGCTTGCTGGATTCGGGCGAGGGCATGTGTGGAGCTATGGCAGTGTAGTCTATGTGTTGCAATTTTGTTTAAGTCACCTAGCTGCTGACACGATGACTGTTGGATCTTGGAAGTGTACGATTATCAGATTGGGAAATAGATGCAGCATACCACGATATTCTGGCTTCGGCTGGGCTTGAACTAACCCTTTTGCTGTCCTCCGCTCCTTGCATCAGTGACTTCCTAGGTTCGGGCGAGGGCATGTGTGGAGCTATGGATGTGTATGTGTTGCTACTATTTTGTTTGAGTCACCTAGCTGCTGACACGATGACTGTTGGATCTTGGAAGTGTACGATTATCAGATTGGGAAATAGATGCAGCATACCACGATATTCTGGCTTCGGCTGGGCTTGAACTAACCCTTTTGCTGTCCTCCGCTCCTTGCATCAGTGACTTCCTAGGTTCGGGCGAGGGCATGTGTGGAGCTATGGATGTGTATGTGTTGCTACTATTTTGTTTGAGTCACCTAGCTGCTGACACTTGGGAGTGCACGATTATCAAATTGTTGGGAGATGCAGCATACATACCACGATAGATATCCTGGCTTCGGCTGTGGGCTTGAATTAACCATTTTGCTGTCCTCCGCGCTTTCCATCAGTGGCTTCCTAGGTTCGAGCGAGGGCATTTGCGTAGCTGAGATGTGTGTCTGCGTGAAAGAATATGTAGAGAGAGTTGTATTGGTATTCGCATCTAGCGCATTGCACATTTTTCGAATGTTGGCCCCCTTCCAGGGGCCTTGATTTTTTCCCGCTGGCACTGACGTCTTTATAAATTGGTCAGCCGGTTCGCGCGGTCGATGCTAATAATAAAAAAACACACACGGTAGGGCTCGCGAAGAATTGGCAAAGAGATTGTTGTCAAAATGAGGATCAGAATGATGGTAGCGACAACAAAGGGGATGGTGAAGTACTCCTAAACGAACTCGAGTACAAGGTAGTACAGATAGCGCCCGCACTTAAGAACTTGGCAGTTAAGAAACTGAGACTCGAAAAAAATCAGAAGCTAGGAACTTAGTCTAGACTAAGCACCATTGGTGAGCCCAGTTTGGAACCCCTACACGAAAACCTATATAGTGGCGATTTGTAGCCCACAGAGGATGATCGGCAATGTAAGCACCCCAGCCTCGACCGAAACTGGAGGTTCTTTCGTGCGGGCGCCATCTGTTGTAGGAAGCTCCGCAGATTGTAACCGTATGGTTGAAGTTATCCCCATTTCCCCGGAGTTACCGATGTGTTTGGATTATTCTGGCTTTCGGTTCTCCTACAGCCACCCCCTTCGATCAGAAGCCGCTTGGCATAGCTTCGACTAGGGTTTAGGTGAGCGTGAGTGCCGTCCTCACAGCGTTGTGTTGAGTGTGACGCCTTAGCATAGCATTGGACAGCCTCGTGAGATTGGATTGATAAGCGGTTGAGTTACAGTAGGTGTTCTTCTTGCTGATCAGGAGTTCACCTTCAGGCTGACTAAAAGAGACCACATTCGACTTTACCTCTTGTGCACATCAGAGACCCGTGACCACACCACGAGTATTGACAGTATTGACCAAACATCCTTTGGACCCGAAGTACTAGCAGAACCACCTTTTTTGCTAGTAGAACCACACCTCACTTGTGATTGGTTCGCAGTGCTCCACATCAGAACACAAACCCAGCAAGAAGCTTGTATCACAGTTGGCGAAGCTGCCGAGTTTGTTTTGTTTGCGGCCTACGCCACTTATCTATCGGGTGAGACTGTTTTGGTGATGTATTAACTTCACGGGAGGTAGACGACCGTCCTTCACACGGACGAAAGAGGGAGT